TTCAATCATAGCAATCATTTTTAGAGAAACATATTGTAAACACAATACAAATATATGGTTACATTGTTTTTTCTACTGTTAGATCAGTATGTTGTCAAATACAGTGGATGTCCTTACATGGCCATTTCAGACAAACGGCTCTGGCAATTACTAAAGCGGTCTAACCCATCTGCTGTTGGGTAATAGGGAAGGAGAACTGAGCTAAAGACTTCTTGTTTGAGACAAAGCTCAGTGTAAGATAAATGAGCACTGTTTTGAACTGTGAGTCATGGAAATCTACACAATTGTAGCATAATAGGTCAACTTTAAGTGAAAAAGTTTCATACTTGTTCTACCACAGGGTGTTTTGGGAATCCATACAGCACAACTGATGGCTGGAAAATGTATGTCTACTGTTTAAAACTGCATTTAGTTCCGTTTGTATTAGCAGGAGTGTTTCTAACTAACCTTGACGTCCTTTGTTAATGTTTCTGGCAGCATCAGCCAAATAAAGAGCAGATCGGCAGCGCTGAAAGCCAGGGCGAGCAGAGCTGGAGTGAGGTAGAAGACATTTCCTGTTGCTTTAGAGGTGATAGCAAAGTAGGCGCCCATCAGAGGCCCCACAGTGAAGCCCAAGGAGAAGGCAACGCCGATCATGGCCTGATTACAACAGAGGGAAACAGAAAACAGAAAGACACTTTATTCATCTATTCTCAATACATGTGAGGGTCATGCTAAGCTAAGTGTACTGATAACAAAAAAAAAAAAGCATGTATAAATATAACACAAAGTAATTTTAATTAATTTCACTTCAACAAAACATTTCCTGTAATGACTACAAATATTTCTGCCTACCATTCCTCGGTTCCGTGCTTTCGGGCACGGCAGGTCGGCTATGATGGCAGTGCAGAGGCTGACGTTGCCCTTACAAATGCCCCCAATTACCCGAAACAAAAGGAACATGCTGAAGCTCCGGGAAACAGCCCAGACTGCATAGGAGGACATCAGCCCTAACTGAAACACAAGGCACCCAATTAGATGTGAATGAGTCAGCTCTGGAGAAAGGGCTTTGTGTTTTCTTACAGCACGAATAGTGATAAGCAAAACTTTAAAAAGTGATGTTTTCCTCACTGTGCTGAGCATAAGCAGGGGTCGCCGGCCATAGGAGTCTGACAGAGCCCCGGTTACAGGTGATGCCAGGAACTGTAGCAGAGAAAACAGTGAGCCAATCAGACCTGTAGGGGGAAAAAAAGCAGCATTATTAAACCAATGAGCCTGCAACACTGAAAATATAAATTTGACCTTAATGTTGAATAAATCTGATGTTTAAAATTAATCCAATATACCTCCAAACAGGACACTGTTGTATTTCTTTTCCAAAGGAATCCCAACAGCTTCCCGGAACCAGTCCACAACAGTTTGAAGAGACTGATACACACCATCCTGCCCACACACAAACAAAGCATCACAGAGCTATAGTATAAATACCAGCAAAGTGGTCACTTCACCATGACTCAGCAGGCGGATTCAGCCACGGACTAATCTAATCAAATTACTCATGAGTTT